GGTAGTCCCACCCACCCACACCACTCCAGCCACAATGATGGCCCCATGTCCTGTGAGTGGCCAGTCAGAAGCCAGGAGAGGCCTGTGAGTGTCCCTCCCCCTACCTTCCTGCCAGAAGCCCTTATTTAAAGCTTTTTTTTTTTTTAAGATTTATTTATTTATGCATACAGAACTGGAGTACAGACCAGACATGTTGGGGGTGAAAGGATTCACCAGAGACAGCCGGGAGCAGAACAGGCAGATCGACGAAGTACACTGCTGAGGGGAGCAGCGGGCAGTCAAGAGAGGTCTGCTGCGCCATGTGGGTCACCTCTGGTGCAGGGAACGAACTCGCACTGAAGCAGCTGCAGGTAGCTTGCAGTGCTGCATCCTAACCCGTTGCTCCACCAGGGAGGGCCCAAGCCCTTATTAGCTTTTATCTGATATATAGACAAAGCCACCTCAGGGCCAAGTTTAGGCCTAGTCCACAAAACTATATGTCAAGGTTACTTATTTTTTCCTGCTTCACACACAGGGACTACATCTCAAGGCTGCATATTATCTACTAGGCTACCTGTGCTGGAAGGTCATGGCAAAAAAAGTCTTTTCCCCTACAACATGTTCCATGAGACGTAGAACCAGAGCTGTGTTTTGTAAACTATAATCCCAAACCCATAATGGATCCATTTAGTGGATGCAAACATGTGTTTTATAATGTCATTTTGGGAAAAAAAAAATCATGAAGGAACCAGAGGGATGCACACTTAGTGAAAGCAAACATTGTTTCGCACAGCCTGGGTTTCAGTTTTACACGGAGCATCAATGTAAATCTGAGTCACAGCATGTAAACTGTGAGGTTAAATTCAGAAGAATTTAAAAGTCACCCACCTGGTGAACCCAGAAGTTAGAAATTAGGAAGGCCATATCCATCAAAAACCCTCCACCCCTTGCATCATATGAGCTTTGGGGCTTAATAGCCTGAGAGACCCAGTAAAGCAGAGTAGAGCCTTGTGGCTTTACTGTTCAAAGCCCTCCAGGACTCCCCTCTCAGTAGGAGTTAAAGTCACGGGACATGTATTTTTGTTCGTTGTGTTAGCATCCTTAAAAAAATACAAAATCTAAAGCATGGGCTCTGTGATATAAATAACTATGACTTGGCTACAGGGAGAGGCTCTGGAAGAACTTCCTGGAGACCCTCAAAGTAGCTGTAAGCAACAATGGATACTCACATTTATGGTCTCTTTCTGGGATGATCGGTCTTAAAATATAATTTATGTGACTTGCATAAAATTTCCTTTGGAAAATCCTGGGATACCTCAGGAAAACAGAACACTCTCCAGATAAGCTGGTCCATAGATGGAGAGACTCCCAGAGAGGCTAGTGCACACACGAGAAGATGCTGAGGCAGTGACAAGACCCCTATGGAAAAGCACAGGCCAGAAGGAGCTCTTCTTGCATGGACATTCCTTAGTCCAAGTAAGCAGCTCCCAGGTGTAGGGTCCAATGTGCTCCTGTTTGGGACAGCCAGTCACAATAATGAAATACAAGGCCAACTCTCTTGCCCTAGACAACAGAGCAGCTGCCAGCAGGAGAGCAAAAGAATCCTGTCCATAGCTGTTCATTATCCTCTGCAGCTACATGTCCCTAAGTGTGGTCCAAGTAGGATGGCTCAAGTGGGCTGTGCCTTGACAATAGGGTATCTTAACTCTGAAGCGGCAGCTTCTGGAAATCACAGTGTCTTTGTTCACTAGCTGACTTGGTTTCTGTCTGTTATGTTAGCTTGTGTGGATGAGAATCTCATCTGTCTTGTTATTTGCCAGATTCTCAATGCCAAGTGTTGGCAGCTGACACTGTATAGTCATACACTGGCTGTATCAAAATGGAGGAATAAGTATTAGATGTGAGAAGAGACTTTGGTGGCCTCCGTAAGTTCTCCAGTCATTCATCAGGCAGATTCTGAAAGGGTGATTTGTGTCCCTGAGGTCCTGGGAAGCAGCCCTGTGTGTGCCTTTTATGGCGACTCTCCAGCAGATACGCATTTAGTATAATTATGTCATTGTGGGTTTTCCAGGTAAAGACATAGCAGTAGAAGAAGGTACAAGGAGCAAAAACTCTGCTAGAAAGCGCAAAGGGAAGAGTAGTTGCCAGGAGTCACCAAGGTCAGGTGGCAGGAGGGTATGCTTGAGGGCTGGTGAACAGGTAAAATCCAGTTGTAAAGGTACACAGAAGTTTGTATTCTGTTCTGTAGGCATTTAGAGATTCCTCCACAGCCTGGACACAGAGAAATGATGCAATCATGTAATTGCAAGCAAGGTGAAAGAAGGGCCCAGGAAAAGGAGGTTCTGTAATCAGGAAGCCAGTTGTGAAACTATCACACAGGTCCAGGTAAGCAATGACAGGGGCCAGACCAACATACTGCTCGTGGAGATGTAGTGAAAGCCCCGAGGCGCAATCATAGGAGATGGCCAGTTGCAAATGTGGGTCTGGGTATTACATAGCATGGCCAGATACTCAGACACAGAGTCACAGAGTTACTGATGTAAGCTTGGAAGAAAATTAAAAACACCTCATTGAAGTAATGGATCATTTAGAAAATCCAATGAAAGCAGGTGTTTTTCATTTCAGAGTCTGATTCACTGATACTCTTTGAAAGCTAAGTGAGGCCTCCTTGGTGGCATGGGGGTTAAGTCAGCACTATCACCACGATGGCCTGGGTTCAATCTCTGACCAGGCAGGTGACCCACACGGCACAGCAGACCTCTCCTGTCTCACCCACTGCTCCCCCAAGCAGTGTTTTTTCAGTGGATCTGCCTGTTCTGCTCCCCATTCTGTCTGTGGTGCATCCTCTCCCCACCCCATACTTCTTTCTGGCCTATGCCTACATCCCAATTCTTATATGCATAAATAAATAAAATTCAGTACATGGTAAAAAAAAAAAAATCAAGCAAGCTAAGTAAAAGATGCCAGTTAAGAGCCACATTATGAAAGGGGAAACATGACAAGGCCTCACCCAGAGCTAGGCAGAGGAAGACAGTGGTCCTCAGTCTTTCTCTACTGCTATAGAGACATTTATACATATGTATATGTATATGTATATGTATATGTATATGTATATGTATATGTATATGTATATGTATATGTATATGTATATGTGCAAGTGGAAAAACATACCTTTATATAAATGCATGTAGAGGCGCTTCTCAGAGATGGCAAAAGCAGAAGAAAGGGTAAGAGGAAAGAATGAAAGAAAAGAATAACTTGATTTTTGAAGTCTGAGGCACCTCAGACAACACCAGGACTTTAGACACATGAAGGGGGATGGAAATAGACATGGAGCCAACTTCTCAATTTTCAGAAGTTTGGAAAAGACAAATTGCCCAGATAGGAACAGTCAGCAAGTCCCAGGAGCTAAGGTGGGCCCAGAGACCGAATCAGGTACAATTGGATTTCAGGGCTTTCAGGAAGCAGAGAGAAAGAAGAAGCTTCCCAGACAAAATAGGCCTCTTTCTTTAAAAAAAAAAATTCAGCAAGACTCTTAAATGAACTAGTAATGAATCATTTTTGTGCTTATAAACATAAGGCCCCTGGTGTATAGTTGTGTGCAATACCTGTGTGTGTCTAGAGTTGTGTGCAGATGCTGAAAAGCCTGTCAGCAAGTATTTACATATAATTATAAATTACATAAAGGTGGATTTTTCCATTTGGCACACATACATATGCATAAACAGTGTAAGTCTGGAAGAGTGTCATTTGATATTTATTAAACATCCAGATGTCCCTTCTTTACATATGGCTATTAAAGGTGACAGGGACTTAGTTGTTTCTAGCACCCAATGTTTGTAAGCATTTTCTGCAGTTTATGTCTAAACTTGTAGAGATCTGTAAAACAAAAATCTTGGTCACACTTGTAACAAGTGTATTAGATTCAATGGGGTATATATTTTTTAAATGACATCCATTTCTTCCGCCCTTTTGTATGTCTGATTTCTCACTTTTGTGCCACACACTTGACTGGTTATATAACTTTGTGAGCTATCTTGAATTTGTTTAAGGATAAGGTGATATATATAAATATAAGCAACTATATAAACGAAATCACAGAGGTAGGCTTTAAGGTTCTGAACATTCTGACTAGGAAGAGAACTTTGTCTTTGTAGGGGGAGTTATGATGTGTGATAATAATAATGGGTGTGATCCTAGGGCAGTCTAGCAGTGACTAGAGGGAGTCAGAAAGATCGCAGCCCCAGCATAACTGTGGCTTACTGGTTGTGTGATAGGACACCTGTTATTTTCTAAACCTTCATTTCTCATCTCTAAATTAGTGAACCCGACGTGCTTGGAGGAGATGATAAATGAAGCAATGTATAGAATTATCATCACTATCAGTTGGACAGGGGAAGGCTGCCATTCCTGGCGAGGTATGCTACAAAACTCTCCCACCCTACCCCACCCTTGCCCCCCTCTGCACTTGTCGCCCACACCCCCCAGACGCCAGGCAGCTGGCTCTCCGGCCTGACAGCCTGATAGGGATCCAGACTCCAAAGAGCACCTGCATGTCCGCCGCCTTCTGCAGGGCTCGGGACACATATCTATCCAGCCCAGCCTTGCAAACTGCTACCTAGAAGGCACCCAAAGGCCAGGTTAAGACAATTATGGATTAGTTTCTTAGCACGTCCACCCGTGGCTCTGCGCTTTGGTATCTACAAGTGCCCTGCAAAGGGACCAGGGGTCCTCGAGAACCAGACTGAAATGCCCGAGCGAGCCGCGGGGCAGAAAGTACAGGAAAGCGCGGGGCTGTCCCCTCACGAGGAGAACCGCTGGCGAAGCGTGTCCCCTAGGGTTCACACCTCCTCTCCGGGCTCGGTGGCCTGCAGCGCCGCCGGTGCCTCCCCAGCCCTCCAGTTCCCCTTCGGATTTCACCCCCGGGCCAGGAGAGGTGGCCGGCAGGGATACAAGGCGAGAACCGCGAGGGGTGCAGGCCTCTGGGTACTCCCGCGTAATGGGGGCAGGCTAAGGAGGAGTCCCCCAGCGCCGCACTTTGCCGAGAGGGAACATCAGCGGCTGTCAGGTGGTGCGCGCGGGCGGGC